TCACAGCATATTTATCGTAATCCTACAGTCCAATCCTATCGTGGGAAGTGTACATTTCTCGTTCCTTGAAAATGGCCAAGCTACAACACGTTTCTTTTCTAATTTTAAATGTTATTTTGTTATCGGTAGCCACATACATTCCGCAACTGGCAAGAGCTGACCCGGAATCGTTTGCTGTATCTGTGTGCACTGTGGACGGGCAGCGGAAAAGCTGGGGAGACGCTTTAAAGCCATTTTGCTTACAGGTGAGAAATTTAACCATCTTAGCTTAGCAAGCTTGAGTTTACAAAGTAACAAAAAGAATTTCCCTTTTCTATACAGTCGGTTTCGAAACCTTTCACTTATGCGTTGGTACATGACGAAATAGGCCCGGATGAGTTACACAACCATGTGGGACAAGAGCCAAGTGGAAGACTATTCAACGACATATCCCTCGATCATAACAGTAAAGAATGATTCGAGTCCATCATCAGCGCTATGCTAATTCGCCTAGCTTTCAGAAAAACCTCATAATCCTTTAATAAACGCTGGAGCTATAGTCGTGGCATCCTTGATGAAACGACGTGCTTCGCTCTCCGACCGTTTTGACTTTGTGAGATTCACAAGTTCCGATGATTTTCACTTATCGTAATACCCATATTTCAGGCGATTCACCAAATAAGAAGGTTCTGTGGGGTCGGTTACGTAGGATTCAACAATGCTGTGTAAGAAATCTCCAGACTTGATTATCTATCATAATAGCATTTTTTCAGATTCCTATCCGAACGAGAAACGGCAGACCGCAATTACGCTCTTTCCTACTATATGAGAGAACACAAGGTAAGCGATGGGTGAAGCTATAGTTGAAACATCAGAAATTTTTTTTGAATGAACGAGCGAGTATTCGTTCGTAATAAAAATATTCGAACGAATGAATATTATTCGAATCGCCTTTCAAAATATATTCGTACTCGAATATTCGAATAAGGAGGATCTTTTATATTCGACTATTCAAATTATCGAATATTTGGGCATGACCGAATATTCAAACATTCGAATTACAGAATTAGTGCGTTTTTTTCGAACATTCCACTTTTTGAATAGCGAATTATTCGAACATTTCAGTCTAACATAATTACGCAATCTCAATACTCGATGACTTTGCAGGTATTCGATCGAACTATTATTTAATGATTTCGCAGACACTCGAACTATCGAATTCGAATTTCAGTTTCAAAACCATTTGAACTCGAATATTCGAATGTCGATGTTAAAAAATATCCGACTTTTCGAATAATCGAATAAGTGCCTTTTACGAATATTCGACTATTCAAAATATTGAGAAACGCTTTTTCAAATATTCGAATATCGAATCTTCGAATTATTCGATATATTCGAATATTTTATTCGAACACGGATATTCGGTCTCAACTATAATTGAAGCTATCAAATTCACTTGTATAAAAAAAACGTTTGAGGTCTTCCCTCCGGACACAAACCTTCAAGACACGCTGGATTTATACTTCCAACTCTGTTCAATTGAAACGAATTGTGATACACTGGCTGTCATGGCTGCAACATTGGCGAACGGAGGGGTTAATCCAATGAATGGTGAAAGAGTTATCAATAACAGGTGATTCGTAATTCAGCTTATTTTTGCTTCATATTGTGACCCTCACTGGGTTTTTATATGAACTCGGATCAGCTTTTTTGCTGTCTAACAAAATTTTCGAAAAGGTTGTTTTACTACAAAGTAAATTTGGTAAAGATATTTTCTACAACGGTGTAAGTTTATACGTTAAGTATCAACCAGCCGACTGAAGATTTCAAACACAAATAATCATGCCATTAAGATGTGTCCATGCGAAGCTTGGGCGTTGAATAAATTCTAATAACTAATCGATAGAAATCAGCATTTTAAAAGTTTCAATTCTATTTTAAAAATAATAACTATGATATTTTCTGAAGTTTCAGTATCTACAACGTGGTGAACGTAAAGAATGGCGGAAATGAGGGGCGGAGGAGGGGAGAAGGAGTCCCCTTTTTGCCCCTCCCTCTGAAAAAAAAA